TTTTAACGGTTAGTGCCTTCTATAGAGACCACTTATCAATAAGTATCAAAAAACGATTTTTACTGTGGTGAATTTTGTTTAATTTATTTGTCTTTACCGGTTTCGTTCACTGAACATCATCAGAAGACTTGTCATAGGAGTTTTAACGTCAACAACATTCGGCAGAATAAAATCATACAAAGTTAATAGAAATATGAACTATCAGAAGATACAAGAAATCAAATGTATACGTTCTCCAACCACGCTACATTTGATTTCTTGTATCTTCTGATAGTTCATATTTCTATTAACTTTGTTTGATTTTATTCTGCCGAATGTTGTTGACGTTAAAACCCCTATGACGATAGGGGTTTTAAAAATATCAATATCTCCTCCAATTTTCAGTATTGATGCCCGCAAATCAGAAAATCCGGATTTTTATCAATACTACATCAATATTTACCGTCAATAAAATTTTTCACCTTACACTGTCAATATTATTGTCAACATGCTAAGGTATTGTCAATATTATTGAACGTTGAAAAACAACTTCGGCTTAATCGCACCAAATCGTACATTTCCTTGAAATTCCTTGTGGTTTTTGTATCGATGTGGTTTCGATGTATATTATTTATTATGTGCTATAAATTTTCTATTATTCATCAATATTATACAGGGTGTTTCATGAGGAATGATACATACGTTAATATGTTATAGGTTTGTTCATTTTAAGCAGAAAATTTCCTAAAAACATGTGTTCAGTCTGTTATTGCAATTATTGCAACGGATTTTTTCAACTGAATGAAATTTACAGATAGTCTTGACACACATTTGGCAAGTAGTGGTATATTTTTTATCTAGTTTTCTGGGACATATATAACATCGTTGACGTTTCGGAGGCTGTGATGGACCTTCTAATGGTGGAATTTTGCTTTTATGTGTTCCTAAATAAAAGCTTATGAGTTGCTTTAGATCTCTAGGTAAACAAGGAATTAATTCTCGGTTTTCTAGATGATCTTTTATAAGGTCTTCTCCAAGACATCTTATGAACTCAAGGCGAGACATTTTTTTCTCTGGAGCTGAGCCTTTCAGTAATGTATATTCTTTACCGTAGAAATATCCATTATTGCAAACCATATTGCTAATGGCCACCGGCGACACCTCCTTCCTGTTCTGTAAAGGGCACACTTCTGATCTAGAGCATCTACACCCCCTTTCGTTGAGTTGTAAAATAATAGCATATCAGGTTTCTCACTTTCATTGTCTACTCTGTTATCGTGGTGCATGGATGACAAGAGTATTACGGATTTACTTTTTTTAAACGTATGAGGTTATAGTCATATCATTAGTGAAACCAAACATTGTATGTCCTACTTGACGTTTTCTGTTTGGCAAAAATTCATTGGGTGTTTCTCTCTTATTTTTTTCTTAGTGCGCCTACGTAGGTAAGAGCAACTTGTTGCAATTCCCTTGTAAGCTCGATGGAAGTGAACCAGTTATCACATGTAATGTTGCGGTTAGTATTTTCCCGGAAAATAAGAAATGGTTAGGAAAATTTTCTTTTCAAATCTGAAGCAAGAGGCCACCACGAATACGATACCGTTGAAATTAGATCGATTAAAAACCCCGAACGAGCTGAATTTTGCGAAAGATTGAAGAAAATCGATTTTCCCGGAAAATAAGAAATGGTTAGGAAAATTTTCTTTTCGAATCTGAAACAAGAGGCGACCATGAATACGATGCCGTTGAAATTAGATCGATTGAATACCCCGATTACGCATTTTTTTCAGTTTAAAATCTATGGCTGAAATCTATGGCCAACTTCACACGCGTATAAAAGTAATGTGTCTTTGCGTCGCAAAGCGACATAATTTTGAGACCGTACTTTTGAGGTTTTCCTTTCAGGTACATTCTGAACGAACATCGTCCACGAAACCCAACCAAAGTTTCATCAACTGTTAGAAATTCTGCAAGGGTGTAGTTTGAGATCGAGTTTTCTACAAATTTGTTGAACATTTCTGATAATAATATAGCGGCTAACTTGTCACCTGCTAATTTTCTAGGTTGTTGTCGCGTTTCCTTATCGTCAAATCTTAGACAAAATAGTAAAAACATAAAACGACCATTCGACATTGTTGCTCTGAATATTGGTCTTCCTAAGCTACTTGTCGACCAAAGCGATGATACATCCTCATGATGGGATTTGAAAGCTTCAGCCAAAAAACAAGTCCAAAAAACGCTTTTAGTTCTATATATGTCAGATCGCCAACAAACGTGGATGTACTTCCGTAAGATAATCTCATATGTGTAATTTTAGAATTGGTATGTTTTAGAATAGTGTGCATCATTTCTTCATTTATAAAAAGAGACCATGCCTTGTATGGAATAGTTGGTTTGTCATTCAATGCTGGTCCGTTGACTCCACGCAGGTGAATTCTAAGAATATTGTGTTTTCTTGTTGGGGATCTTAGAGGTTGTATTTTCGACCATTTGAAATTATCTTTGCCGTTTTCATGCTGGAAGAACATATTGGCTCTGGTAGCCAAAGGAATATCTTCTAACAGTATTGGAAGCCATTGCGCAAGAACTCTAAATATCTGTCCGCTGTTAGATGCTCGGGTAGTACGAAAGGCTCAATTAAGTTATTGTTAATCATTCCACACTATATATTCACAGAGAATTTTACCCATCCACAACATTCCTATCTCCTGGAAAAGTCTGTTGGTTTAAGGTGTTGTACTGGTTGAACATGGAATTGATACAAAGTATGTTCTCCATACTTTTACCTGAGGAACACTAAGACGAGCAGAACGTCTACTTGTACTGGTAGATGGACTGCGTTCTACTGATTGAAGAATTTGTTCAACTTCATTCAGAGTTTGCACACCTGCACGTTGAGAATGAATGTTATTCCTTTATGCATGTTGTGCATGTCCCACTTGTACTTAGAACAGAACCGGTTTCATGCAATCTGTTGAATGTTTGAGTAAATGCTCTTGAATCTGGTAGCACTCGGTTAGGAAACCGTCTCCTATAGTCACGACAAAACACCATATCAGCATATTCTGTATGAGTCAATATGTGTGGCATTATCAACAACTTAGTCGACACGTCAACCATATAATGTTAAATGTCAAACATTGACAAATGACTGTATCACAAAAGCTGTGCGTGATATCAATTTATGCATTAACTGTATTTCAGTTACCTCTGAGAATTGAACACATGTTTTTCGGAACTTTTCTGGTTAAAATGAACAAATGTATAACATATTAACGTATGTACCATTCCTCATGAAACACCCTGTATAATAAAATCCAATAAAACTTGTTATTTTGTACTTCTTCATGTTTTTATTTTGTTTTTGATTCCTAACTGTTTCGGTTTACTACAATCGACAAATTTATGTCGTCATCAAGTGCAGGTTATTACTGGATGTAATAACCAGCATGTTATTGTCGTTATAGTTACATGGATAGGTCCTTTACTCAACACTTTTTTGTTGAATAGTAAACTTTAAGGTGTCTTCTTTATATCTTTAAATCTCCTTGTGCGTCCTAAAGAATAATTTTGCATCTTTGAAAGTATTTTCTTTAGTGCTCTTCTTTGGTTTGTTTATTCAGAAAAATATTTCTGTTTCATTATCAAGAATGCTATTGAAACATCGTTTATTTGGGTGTTAAGATGTTGTCGTCTATAAAAGGTGTTTTAGTACTGTTTTATTACCTTATATCATGATTAAATCGCAACGTTTCACGCAAGTTACATAAAAAAATGAGTATTCGTGTTACAAATTATCCATTAAGAAATAAGGTCTTATCGATTCTATTATTTGCCTTTTACATAAGAATAAAAGCAGAACCACACCGAAACTATCCAAAACGAATCTAATTTCATTAATTTATAGTTTATATCCGATAAAGAAATATTTTCCTTTTTGCTTGTATTTATTTATTCATATTATATTAAATTAAAAAGTCCTATATATTTATCGTTATTAAATCGTAGTTTCGGCTAGTTTAAATGTGAGTTTAAGATTTAGAACGAATAATAATCTTGGATGTATTTTTAGACTTATCTAAACATTGAATATTTAAAAATCCATTTTTACCAAGAACTTTGTGTATCGAAATGTGTGTGTAAAAGACCTTGGTTATCGACGATCGATTGAAACCTAATGTTTAAGAAAATCGTTTCTTTTAGAAAATGATTAAAATTTAATCTGTAATTATTTTGTATAAATTATTCTGTTTAAAGGAACTTTGAATTAATAATATCACTAAATTTGTTATTACAAACACGATTTAAGAAAATAAATGATTTATCGATGTTTTCGACATGTTTATTACATGAACTGGGTTAGGTCACACCCCCAAAACGAGGCCAAACGGCCGTGTGATTTATTCGGTTGCGTCACCCTCGAGAAATTTCAAAACTTATATTAAACAATGTAAAGTTGTGCTTAAATGGATTTGAATTTCGAACTCCTAAATGAATTCAAATAGAAACGGATAATTTAATATTTACTTTTAATTTTAACATCAGGAGGTGTCGTTAAAATAACGAGTTCAATTACGGAATATTGAACATTCAAACTAAGGAGCACTTAACAGCTTTGCCCTTTGATGTTCCATTTCTGTAATGGAAGTGTAACGAAAGGGTCATCCTCTAGTTTGAATTTGTTCGTTTCAAATCGTTAATTTAAAAATTTAAAGTATCTTTTTCTTAGTGACTCTAGTAAATAGATTCTGCAATGAATTTTATTTCGAACAAAGCGGGGTTGTTCTGATTAAACGGGGTGGAATGACGTCAGTAGTGATCTCGAACCCTCTCTCTACATCCCCTCTGTTGCTGGCGATGACGTCAATTGTACTTTATATACAGTGTGCTACAAAATTATCGAATACAATAAAATCTTGATGTAATGGAGTAATACGGGGCAGGGAATTAGTTTCAGTTTTAGTTCAATGAAAAATATACTACAATCTAACGCTGAATTTTAATTAAAAACTTTTTTTCAGTGATTCTTCCATTGATCTAAGCGCAAGTGTTGAGCATCCTGTTGAAGCGAATGGTGTGGATTGTTTAAGGATGCCATTTACAAGTGATTTGGGTGTTTCCAATAGCAATAGATCCAGTATAGTTTCTCAAGTAACTAAATTATAGTAAATTTATAGATGTATCATTAAAATGATTATTTCTTTTTAGGAAGAAACTCAATCTCCCGAAGGATCACCAAATGCCTTTCCAAAAACCTCCTAACGTCGTAAACCGAAACGTGTTTTAGAACAATCACTCTATGTGGAATTAAACGGATTTTTTCCTCTAAGTAATAAAGGTAATTTTTAAAAAGAAACCTCATCTTCTAAGCGATTAAATAAATAATTAAATTGTTTCAAACAAACTAAAGCCCTGATCCTCCCCCTCAAAAAAAAAGATTTAAAAAAAGCCTTTTTATGTACGTATATGTGTAGGCCTATTTCATGTCCATTTCTCAAAATGAAAAGTCACCATCCAAAGAAAAAATTAAAATAAACTGAAAAAAAAAATGAAAACTTTAAAAAAGTCGAAAAAAAAGTTGTTATCTATTTATTATTCAAATTTAGAGACTTGTTATCCGAAAACTCGCGTGCGCTCGCCAATTCAGCTTACAGAATTCGAGATCAGATGAAAAATAGCAAAAAAACTAATAACGATTAAGAATTCTTTGTTGTTAAACTAAAACCAAATCGCGTTTTTTAAACCAACTCATCATTTGTATTTGTATATTGCAAATATTTTTTGTACGTTTTTGACGAGTTACATTGTATATTAATATTAATTCGGTGTGTATTATATATTGTTAAGGTTTGTTGATTGATTGGATTGAGTTGGATTCGGTTGGCGTTTTTCACAAAAAAATAAATCAATAAATACAAAACTGGAATACTAATAAAGGCGAAGAAATAATAATAATAATAACACGAAAAAAACTGCATGTTTCTTTAAATCGATAAGGAGATGTTAAATAGTTGAGATCACGAAATTCTATTGTACAGTGACATTAACAATAAATAAAAATGGAAAAAATCGGTAATGAAATTTATATTATTATTTTGTTTGTTTATAACCAAAATAGTATTGCGTATCCAAATGCAATTTATTTATTTTATTATTTGTTAGTAACGTATATTTTGTGCCCTTTGTTTACATGCATTAATTTTTATAAATGTATTTGTTCAGTCCAAAAAATACAACCTCAAATAGTTTTTTGAGATAAAGGATTTAAAAAATGTACAATAGAATTAGAAGATGCTGGTGTTTTCCATCGTATTTACAGATATGGTGTTTTTATATATGATACATTAGAATTTAGCCACTTGTTTTCATTTTGTGCGTCTTATTTGTCAAGTAAACGTGAGTTAAGTGTTGAAAACAATATATATGTTAATACTATTTCAAGAATCAATCAAAAACTTTGCCATCAACAAAATTATTTATTATACAGCAAGGTTGAATATAGAATTCCTTTTGGTGTTGGATTTATCGTAAAGTGTGAGGATGAAAAGATGAAGTGTGAATCTGTTTTGATCCAAGTAATTTATAAAATTGAGAACAAATTTGAGACCCAAATTGTCTGCCTCTATCATGTGTAATGGTGGGTGGAATGCCGAATCTGGAACAGTAGTTTTGCAAGGAAAAGCTTCTGGCCAGCGTGTAAAACGTTCTATCACTCTCAGAATGTAAGAGTAACCCAGTGAAAGTGGAGGAGGGCTGTGTTCAAATCTACCTTTCAGAACTGTAATTTTTGAAGCAGTGTGTAGTTTTGATAATCAAGGCAAGATTTTGTCCAAAGAAAAATATTTGAAGAGACCAGAAGCAAGTATTAAAATCTAATTGAGACGTTATAATCTTGAAAGATTTTGAAAGGAATTTGCAGAAAGAATGATGTCTCTTCACTTTAATTTTTCTCACCACAGGTATAAAGCAATTAGTGATAATGATGGATGTGATACTTGTACGCAATTCAAAATAATTGACAATAGATCACACAAAGGTTTTGTTCGTTAGGGCGGCCGCACATTTGCTACTTTTTGATCCGACGCTGTACCGCACACTACCGACAAAATATGTACATCCGATTTTGATCTCATTTGAGTTTCATACTTTGGTGTAACGCGTCACAAAAGAAAATGGAGGACGACGAACTTCTGGCGATTGCTTTTCTATTATCACAACCGAGGAAAAAAAAGAAAACGTGGCTACTGGATACATGCGTTAAATACGAAAAGGCTTCAACAAAGCCAGTTTTACATTTTACATAATAAGTTACGTGCTCATCCGGAAAAATTTTTCAATTATTATCGAATGTCAATTAATTCATTCAATGAACTTCTCAATTTGATTCGGGAAGACATAACGAAAAAGGACACACATTTGACACTTGCAGTTTCTACAGAAGAACGATTAGCTGTTACTCTCAGGTAAGATTTTTATTATCATACTATTTTCGAAAATTCAAATATTCATGTATAAGATCATTATCAGCTCTCTTATCAAGATCGTGGTGGTGGTTGCTGTTGTGATCGTGGTTGATGCAAAGATGCAGACCCAACGGTACTATGTTCTGGATTCGGTGGCATCAGTACTGTATATGTGGCACATTCTGTGTTACGGCCAATATTATATCGATTCATGTGTAGAGGACTCGGAAGACTTGGAGAGCATACCATCTGAGGGCTTTGTGAACTGAAGTTATGCGACGAAAGCGAGGAATGAACATTTCGTGGCGGTTCGCTAATTTGTTTTAGTAGCTGTAACATGCCAATTTTGAAATCCAATTTCTGAGTTCTGTTCATTGCTTCCATGTCACTTCGGAAACTTAACAAAAACTTTGTATCGTCGTCATCATGTATGGGTTGTTCTTTTCTCTGTTTCATTATAGCTAGTATTTGCGTTGGCACATCTTTCTCGGCAACCTTTTTCTTTTTCGCATTAGTAGGTTTTTCTTCCGTGATATAGTCTCCCACAATTGAGTTTTGACTATCTTCTTCTTCTCTAGTTCCAGTTTTTGAAGTTCCTTCGCCTGCGTCGTCGTAATTCCCCTCGTGACTTAAAAACAAAATGAAACATTTACTTTAACTTGAATCGATACATGATGCATTCATAAAATATTGTAGAAATGTATATTTATTATTGTGTTTACCATCGACTCTGCATAACGGGAGCTAGAAATGTTAGAAGATCGGTGTAAACATATTTCTTCACTTTTGTAGCACCCGATCCTGTTGGAGTTTGTTTCACTTTATTGATATCTCTCCGGTAGCAATCACGTACATACGTTGTTCCATTTCTTTTTTAACTCGACACCTGAAATTAAAAACTTTTTATTGTACTTATAGAACTCCGTGTATATTACCTATGTCGGTAGCTATAATTGAAAGATATGCTTTGTTCAACTACGGTAGACTGTTGAGGTAATGCTCTCATGTGTAAAATTAGGTGCGCAGTATTTTCTAAATAAATTCATAAATTTTGAAGTTGTCAAGGAGAGGTTAATTCAACGTGACAGATTATGTTAGAATTAAAAAAATTATAACCTTTCTTTGACAACTTCAAAATTCATGAATTTATTTAGAAAATACTGTACAATTTTTTTAACCTGAGAGCATAACCTCAACAGTCTACCGTAGTTGAACAAAGCATNATTGATATGTCAAACGACTGAAATATCTTTATATTGTAAATATAAATGATAAATAAGTATAATAGCTTATTTAATAGTACCTTACTTAAGTTAAAATAGTTAATTAATTAAAAATTAATATTAAACAAGACGTTACAAAATAATAATAAAAAAATGACCCGTGTGACGATGGCAACAAACTGTGCATTTAACCAAATGACAATTACCATATTGTTCAATAAATGATTTTAATATGGTAACATATTCAAAATGAAGGTTGACTTGTGATGTCGTGCTTGCCGCCACAGTCTTAATCATAAATAGGTTCAAGCACGGCACGAGTGTATCCTTTATTATACACTCGAGTACATGGTCATATGAATACATTGTCCTCTAACTATTAAGGATGTACTTGCCATATTCGATTTTCTTTTTTAATCTTCATTATCATCAATGGCCTGATAACCCTTTGTGGGTCTTGGCCTGTTCCAGCATCTTCCGCCATTCCGATTTACTACAAGACATCCTTTTCCAATTGACGCTGCCAAGAGTTCCTGTTTTGGGTCGTTTTGGGTCGATGGGAGTTTGTTTTGATATTCTCTTGGGGGTGTCCTGTCCAGCGCAGACGACAGATTTTTATAGAGAGAACAATATCTGGCTCTCTGCATGCTGAGTAGAGCTCTCTCTGCAACAGAATACACTCAGAAGCACACAGAGGATCGGTTGGATTAGCGTTCTGTACAGGTGGCACTTTGTAGCTCTTGATAGGGTGTCCGATATTAAGTATCCTTCTTTTAACTTCTGCACTGGTATCATTCTCTGAGGTCACCAAATGAGAACAAATACACACGTTCAAAGCTGTATTCGCCCACCGATAGGTTTTGCAGCTGTCGTATTCCGAATCTATTACGGACTTACATATATTTTGTTTTTGCTTGGTTTACTATTACGTTAAAGCTTTCTGTCACATCCCTTCTCATCCTGGCAATTATGTCGACGTCATTCACGAAGTCCAAGACCTCTTATGTTACCTCCCGAATTATGACTTTCTCGAGTACTATGTTGAACTGTACTCGTCAGAACTTATTGATTTCGAATGGTTACGTTCTTTCATTCCGTACCTTAACCACACTTTTCACCTTGAGCGATTCTCTGATTAATGAAATAAGGTGGGTGAGTATCTAGAGATTTGCCATTGCTCTGAGTAGATATACACTAGGGATACCATCTAGGACCTTTCAAAATCCACAAAGAAATGCTTTTCTAATGTTATATTTTATTGTCTTTTCCAGTTCCTGTTTAAGAACCAATATTTGGTCATTGGTTGATTTTTGGCTGCAGAAACCGCACTCATAGTTCCGATACTAATTTATATGCAGAGTTCAGGAGTGTGATGGTTCTGTAATGAACACATTGGCGATGGTCGTTCTTTTTATGTATCCGTGCTATCATCCCTAGATTCCATGCTTGACGGAGTTACTTTCTTTCCCATATATCCTTTACCGGTTCTGCCCTCCCTTATCTGCTCCCTCATTGATTAATTCAGCGTTCCTTTTCATCCGGTACCGGAACCTTGTTGTTTTTTATTATCTTTATTGCTATTAATACTTAGTTGTATGTGAGTGCCAGTGTTTCCCTTATTCAAGTTCTCCTTCTTCCTTCTATGCGTTCGGTCTTCTGTTTTTCTGGTGTCGTTCGTTGTTGCATTTTTCTATAGACTTCACTTTTCCATTCAGCTACGTTTGCACACTCTTCTGCCTCTTCTAATACATCTCCTCTAAATGAGTTTGAAGCTTCCTTGTTATATTTTCTTTATAAAGTATGTTTCTATTAGCTAAGATAGTGGTGGAGTCGGATTCCAATAACGTCTGATTGATGTGAGTCTCGCATCAATGACTACATGGTCGATCGATCATATTAGTTCTCTCCATTCAAAGTGCGTTCTCGCGATAACCATATTAAGGAATACTGCTAAATTTATCAATCTAATCCCGTTATCATTGGCGGACTCTTCATGTAGACTATATTTACCAATTCTTCCTTGCAATTGAGACTCTTTTCAAATTTTGGCGGACATCTTTGATAGGTCATTTCGAGCTCTTTGTAGAATAGACCTTTTAGTTAGATTAGATCTTCTGTAATTGAAGAACGAAGAAAAGGCATAATGTGCAGAGTCTTGGATTATATGCATAGATATCTATGATTAGGTGCTTTTTATTCACAATGAAGACTGTGGAGTACAGTTTGGTTCCTTTTCTATAGTATACCTGATTCTGTCTATCTGACCTCTTGTAAAGCAGTGATGCTTAGTTTATATCTATCAATTTCACTCACTTAAGAGGCTCTGGAGAGCTCCTGCGCCATAAAGAAATCTCATGTTCTATGTCACAATTCTCAAATCGTTTCCTCTGCTCTTGCGCAGTCGTTCGGTTTCCAAGGCTTTTTAAACATTCTTTTTTTTTCTAATGCTATAGCTTATTTTACCCTATTAGCTATTACCTTAGTTTAGCTTTCCTTGTATTGATTGGAAGTTGTTCAGTTTTAGTTAGTTATCGTCTATCTTTTATCACGTACCTGAAATAGATTGCAAAATCCAGACAAAAATATTTATTATTAAAAATTTGTTTAGAAACTTTTGGGAAATTTAGATTTCATAAAACATAAGTGCATGTCTAAATCTGATTATGATTGTATCAACTGCTGTTTTGAATAAAATTATTTATTTATTTAACACACTTTATGTTTATGCAATACAATTGAAATTCATTCTTTTTATTAAATATTTATTTTCGCTTATCTCTTATTAATTCATAACTGCAAAAACCACTCTTTAAAGCAAATTAAAAGCACCTGTTTATAAACTGATAATATGCGGGCAATTTACTATAAATACTGGGAAATTCGTTTTCCATCACATTCAACAAGTTTAATTCAATCGAAGATAACTTTTTGTTAAAAATGAAGTACTTTCTAATTCTTTATGGTATGCTTCTATTTGGAAGTTTCTTTGAGACCATCAATGCTGCTGGTAAGTAAAAAAAATGTGATAATTTCTTTTAAAAATTATTTTAAATGATTTCTTTTTATTATAGACTGCTTAATAGACCGTACAAAAATAGATAAATTTTTTCCATTGCTATTATTACCAACCTACCAAAGTTTTACGCATCTTCTTGATGCTACGTATCTACCAGTACGTGGTAGCAAAAATATAGTAATTGGTGATGGAAAAAATATTGCTGTCGCTTGTCCGGGTGCGAAGGTTACTTTCGGAAAAACACAAACTAATGTCGACCGCAAATCATGTACTTGCAAAAATCAAAAATTTCTATGCGATACTACTCTTTATGTTCCTTCGGATGTAAAGTGTTCAGACATACCTAAATCAGTGGTAAATAGAATAGCTAATACCGAAAATTTCCAAATTGGATTCATAATTGGTACTGCATTTTTAACACTAATCGATGGAAGATACGATACAGCAAAGGATATAACACGTCATACAAATCATTTAATATTAAATAGCATAAACGATATTAAAATACCGGATTCAAGACCATCATTTATTGAACCAACATTCCCGAAATGCGGCGATGTATATACACAGGAAAACCAAAAGAAAGCCATAACAGGTCTTTTTACGGGAAGTCAAAAGAAGGTAGTGGAAGGCTACTTTGTAAAAGGACAAAAATATTTAGCGAAAGGTCATTTAACACCAAATGTCGACTACGGTTTTCTATATCAAAGAAAAGCAACGTTCTTTTATCATAACGCTGTACCACAATGGCAACAGATAAACAATGGCCATTGGAAAGCCCTAGAAGCTAATGTTCGTGATATGGCCGCAAAGAGTAGTAACTTTTTAAATATCTACACAGGGGCAGTTGGAATTTCAGAATTTTTTCAAAAACAGTTATTTTTATGTAATAAACAACTTCCAGTACCGAAATTTGTATATAAAGTAGTTATTCTTCCTAGCAATGCTCCAAAAGCTATTGCATTTGTGATGTCTAATAATCCGTATGATGAAACCGAATCATCCAGTTTTAAATGTACAAACGTGTGTAATTCTGTTCCTCATTTCATTAATACAGAACACACAAAATGTAACAAATCCTATGAAAAAGGATGTTTATATTGTTGCCAAGTCGATGACGTTTTAAGAAAATCAATTCCATTTTTACCAGTTGGTAACATGCCATTACTTACTAAGATATAAATAACAACCGCACTTAATGAAAATATTAATGTTTATTCAATAAATTTTGTTGAATATAACGTTGAAGAAAATCTTAATCTAGAAAACATTTCATTCACAAGTTGTTCCATTTAAAGCAGTTGAATAAATAGTATAATTAGCAGAAATGCAATCTTGTTTCCATTCAATAATAGCTACTTCACACATCATTGATCCAAATTTTTCAAACGCTTTCCAATTTCTATTTGGAAAACGTTTTGAAAACATTGTACTTACAAAATTTTCACGATCAGTAACATTTTGATATCGGTTAAAAGCTTCTGTAAGAATCGGTTCGATGTTTTTTTCCATTTCGTCGTTCATATTAAATGAGATGGTTGAAACCTGTTAAATAGAAATTGATTCAGTAATTTAGTGTAGTAATATTTATACTTACCTCTGTTTCTGAACAATTTGAATCATTTTCATCAATGAAAGATCGTTTCGATGTAGGCGCACAACCCACGTGTTTGTTTAAATGATAAAAACTGATTAATAAGAAAAAAAGAATTAATTTTAAGGATTTCATGATTCAAGTGTTGTGTTTAAAATTTTAAATTAAGACGAGAAAGTGATAAAGTTTTAATGATAGGATATAAATATTTCTTGAAAGTTTATCACAAACAATGAACCTTAAATTTTTTTTGCTACGATTAAATTGAATAAATAACAAAATGCGTAGTAAAGTTTCAATATAGTATTTGAATCTTACCGAAAAATGATTACGTTTCAAAATTAATATATCAAAAACTAAAAATATTTTGAAAATCCGTGCATTGGAAAGGTTATAATTGGTATAACAAATGCTGATAATTTCATAATGATTTATTGAACTTGCAATTTAATATGATTTTTTGAAAATCAGTGAATAAACTGTGTTGTTTATAATACGAATGGCGCAATTTAGCTGAAATTCTTGGTATTGCAAAAAGAACAAGAAGAAGAAAAACCAAGAGGAGGAAAATAAAAATTACAAGTGAATATCACCGTTTCTTTGAATTTAAAATTGTAGAAAATCCTAAAATCACACTTAACCAGTTGCAAGAAAAATTTCGAAATGAGTTTCAGATGGCCACATGTTTACATTAAAACAAATACGTTTTGAACCGGAAAGAACCAACACCGCCGAAGTGAAATCGAAATCAGCTTGAACTTCAAAGTGAAAACACGCCCATAAAAAACTGCCGGTAGCCGAGGTGCAAATGTGCATCTTATCGGATGTATCAATAACTTGGGATTAACTTATCATGAATTAAGCAGTTTACTAGGTAATGCTTAAGGAGAGCTCGAGATAGCTATCAATGTTCGGTGGCTTTAGCCATTGTGGTGTTGATGAGGTGTTTGAAGAACAAGAATTTCTTCACTATAAACTTGTAAGGCTAAGTCCTTACAGTTCAGTGCTAAACTCAATTGAACACGCTTAGTCAGATTTGAAAGCAGGTGTAAAGGCGGACTTGGCAAATAAAATTACAAATATTTTGGAGGGAAATGACCAAGAAAATTTGTCTCAAACAGAGTACAAAATTCGCAAATTGGGAAATATACATAATTAGGAACAATATTCCAAAAATTAATGTAACTATCTGTAACAGATTTGGAATTCAAAAGCACATCACCTCTATTTTAAACATGCCACATTTTGAGTTAACAATACTGTTTATTACCAATTTATGCCAATTATTGGTTTTGTTTAATGCTATTTTGAACTTGAAAAGGTATAAATTAAATATCTACATTAAAATACACATTAAACTAAAAAAAAACTTTTTTCTTTGTTTCGAAGGTGGCATTACCCAAAAATAAAAATCGCACGGTTTAAGATCAGGAGAATTGGGAGGCCACGCAAACAATTCCAAATCTCCTTGAGCACGACGGCCTATGCAACGACGAGGAAGTTCCTCGTTTAGGTATACATGATGGGAATTTACCCGGTATTTTTATTTGTGGTATTTACCTTGGGTATCAAATATATAACTAAAATGGGTAAATAATCGGGTGTTTATTCGAAAGTCATAATGTCGAGTTTCTGTTGCTTAAGTAAGTAAAGATAACAACGAATATAATAACTTAACAAAATAAAACACTAAAAATGTGGACATCTATAACATTTAGGTATTTTTACTTGATATATTGTTTAATTTCCAATTGTATGCAGTATGTGTCAGCTTTCCTGCTCTTTCACTTTCAAGACCATTGCGTCTCTTACTGTGTATCCAGCTGAAAGTACTGAATGATCTTTCAGTTACTGCTGATGTGATTGGTGCTGAAGAAAATGCAATTTTGCTTAATGTAGTACTGCTGCAGAGTCCTTCCACCACGACAATGGACTCATCGATGCCAGGCTTGTGTTTTTCCATACAAATGCTGTAGTCCACAAACCTTCATTAGACTTATACTTTGTTTTATATCCAAATCAGCCATAACGTCTAGTTACATTTGCTTGGCTACAGTATACAGCGTGTCCCGTATCTTCCGCATCAGAGCATTATACGGTTGTAGGATACATTATTCTGAAGCGATCTTTCTAATAAATTTTTTTCGAAATGTTTATAATAACCGCACGGGAACTGTTTAAAGGAACTGTTTTTCGTCCAATCAGCAGATCGCAAATCAGACTCAGGTAATCGGTGCCACCCTCGGCCGGTCCGCTACGCCGATGATAACTCGTTTCCCACGTGTACTCACCAATAAATTCGTCATGGAAAGAGAAATAAACTTTTTCGATGAATCAAAGTTGTCCGTTATTGGTCGTCGTTAAACAGTTCCCGTGCGGTTATTATAAACATTTCGAAAAAATTTTATTAGAAAGATCGCTTCAGAATAATGTAT